TCTCCCCATCTTCCCGGTCTCTAGTAACCACAATTTTAAGTTCAGATCCACTTTCTGTTGTTAATTTACACATGGGAGAGGGAACATACTGCATTTGTCTCTGTGGCTGGCTTATTTCACTTCATATAATCATCTCCACTTCCATCAATTTTGATGCAAATGTTAGGATTTTTATTGGTTTTCAAGGCTGAGCCATATTCCCCTGTGTATACACAACACATAATTTTTAGTCATTCATCCGTTGATGGACATCAAGGGTTGACTCCTTATTGTACCAGTTGTGAACAGTTCTGCAATGATCATGGGAGTTCCAGTATTGCTTTCTTATATTGATTTCATTTTCTGAAGATAGACATCCAGAAGTGAGTTAGCTAGGCATATGGTGGATCCAGTTTTAGTTTTCTGAGGATCCTGCAAACACTGTTCTCTATGGTGGATGTATTCATTTGTATTTCTACCAACAGTGTGTGAGGTTTCCCCTTCTTCTACCTCCTCACTAGCATTTGTTATTGTTTCTCTTTTTGATAATAGCCATTCTACCTGGAGTAGGGAATTTTATTTAACTCAGGAATCAGAGATAACCAATACAAGAAGGGCAGAGGACAAATAAAAGTGTGCGTATACTGTGCAAAGAGAGGGAAGTGGATTGATCTCTGTGAGTGTCTGTGTGGGGAAGTCTCAGTAGGAGAAGAAAATTGGAAAATATCCATGGGAAGCTGAGGGAATGGGCCAGATGTTTCCCACCTCTCCCAGGTATGTGGAGCAGCCTCCTCCAGGCTTGATACCTGAGAAGCTGCGAGGGTTCAAGACAGGTGGGCCCTGCTTTAAAACCATAATGTGTGAAAAGTCAGATGTAGTAAAATATGAACTAGCGAATATTAACTCAGCAGAGGTATTTTCACCTAAAAAACGTATGAATACAGAATCACTTTAAAAATCCTGAGGTGCACTTAAAATATGATCCAAAATTCAGGGACTCAAGAACACATTCCATAAGTAAAGCCACCTATTCATGTGTAGAAGTTACAGATATTGTTTCTGCATGGGTACTGTTATTAACAAACCTGTTAAAAACCTACATGGGACAATTATTTTCATTCTTTTGCCCTTTTGACATGTTTGGGTAGGAATGAATGAGCAACAAAATAAACTTGGATTTCCTAAGTATAACTTTAAGTAGTAGGCATACATTTTTAACCTTATCTTCAGTTATCACTACTGCCCTGGGAAATCTATTCCAACTCTTGGAGGGGAAGAGAGAGCGATGATCAAGTGCCTGTAAAATAAATGGTCTTCTATCTGGTTTTTCCTCCAAAAAGCAAGGCAAAGAAGCTGAAGGATTTTCAAGGTCTCCCTTCTACTTCCTCTTTTTCTTCTGAAAACATTTGATAAAAAAAAAAAAATCTTTATCTAGAATCATTGTAAACTCTGTTATTCACAGAGAAGCTGTCCTTCCTTATTATTGGCCTGGGAAACCAACCAGCAAAAGCTCCCAACAGCAACCTGGAGAATAATTACAACAGTGGGAGTGGGCATTTAGCCTGGTGGTTAGAATGCCCATGTCCCACGTCAGTGTACCATGGTTCTGTTCCCTGCTTTGGCTCCTGACTCTAGCTTCCTGCCAATACAGACAGAGAGGTAGTGTGGAAGGCTCAAGAAATTGGACTCCTCTCACCTATGTGGAAGACCTGGATTGCACTCCTGGCTCCTGTCTTTGGCCTGGCTCGGACCCAGCCATTTGGAACATTTGGGGAGTGAAGCAGCTGGTGGGTGCTCTCTGTCTATCTGATTCCTAAATAAGCACATGGATTAGAATAAAAGAAAGTAAAAAGGGAGCTACCTGAGATTATGTTATTCCAGTGTGGTCCTCAAGTGAGGAGAGATGTAAAGGCACTCATCATTCAACAATCTCCATGGTTGAAAACAGTATACTTTCTTCACATGGGACCTTCACTTTTGCTTAACAACAAAAGTGCATGGCCTGAAAAACCAACTTAAGCATGGCTTCGTCCATTCTCTGTGCACTGCAAGAGAAAAACAAACAAGCAAACAAAAAACAACTTCATAGTCAAGGGTTCCTGAATGTGTTAACCTATTCCAAAACATTCACATTGCAATTAAACAGTACTCATGCTTTCAGCACACTGGCAGCTCCCCAGTAAAATGAGTGTTTGGTTTTACAGTGGTAGGTTTCAAAAGGCCAAAAACTCTGTGCAATCATAATTCACTTTTTGGTGCTCACACAGAAAAGTACACCTGAAAAAGAAGAAACTCAATTATTTTGGCAGCTCAAGTGTTGCTCAAATATGTAATTCCTCAAATCTGAGAACTGGGCTCAAAGCACTCCAGAGAAGAGTGTGGCTAGGGAGGAGGATTCCAGATAAGTAATCAGGTACATGGAGAGGTGAAGTTCCTGACCTCCACATTCCCAGTATGCTCTCGATCCGTGTCTACCACATGGCACATGTAAATACCTCCCCTATATGATGCCTCCTGGTGTGTGTGTATCTATTTGTGTGCTCCCTGATTGTAAGCATGTGTGTGTACATATGTGAAGTCTCCTGATGTTTCCAGGTTTCCCACTTAAGACAGTATGCCATGTTTTGGCAACACTGAATCATATTAGAATCTTTTAGAACTTTGGGTCCAGTTGAAGTCACAGGTAGCAATATTACAGCAAAACACTGAAGCAGAAACATTGGCCCAGCAGTAATCTCCTTCAAAATGCCCAGCAGAAGCAAGCATTTAGCTAGTGGTTAGATCACAACATCCCCTCTCAGAGCACCTGGTTTCAATGCCCAGCTCCAGTTCCTGACTCCAGCTTCCTGCTCATGCAGACTCTGGGACACACAAGTCATTGGATAATTGCCACCCATGAGCAACCTGGATGGCATTCCTGGCTCCTGGCTTCAGCCCTGGTAAAGCACCAGACATTGTGGACGTTTAAGGAGGAAACCAGCAGATAGAAGCCCTCTATCTCTCTCAAAAAAAAAAAAAAAAAAAAAAAAAAAAACAAAAACAAAAACCACACAGAAAATGCTCATATGATGGAAATACAGAATTTCTTTTTCTAGGTATGTATCATTCACAGTCATGAGTGAAATTTAATAAATTATTTTTAGTTCTCTGCAGATTTTGAGGCAGTGTTCTTCTCTATCAATTGATAGAGAAGGTACTTTGTTGAGAACTAATGGTTTGAGAGGAAATGCAATTGGCCCAAGAAACAAATATATTAAGGATGAAAAATTAATTCTTCCATTTTCCAATGCTATCTAACATTCATAAACCCTTGGTATCAGACTCAATTAACACCCTTAGGATTTTGATTCCATTTATTCTTGTTAATTTTCTAATTTTTCTAATTTCTTGGGGGAGAGTACATTAAACAGACACAGAACATGCAGCAAAAATCGTTGGTAAGTCTTTAATGAGTTAAATATAGCTGGATTTGGGATCCATGGTCACATGTTCCCATTTATCATTAAGCTTAGTTTAAAAAAAATAATTTATAATTTTTAGGATAGACAGCTGGAAAAATAGTTGATATCTAATATTTACATTTTATGCATATTAGCAATTAATGTTTTGGATCTAAAAATGCTGAAGTCATATACTTTTGCTGAATAACTGCTTTGATTTATTAAAAAACACTATAACCGTATATGATTTTTAATATCCTTTTTTATTTCTATGACTATTGGTTGGTTGGTTAGTTTAGAAAGTAAATGAGAGCCCAAGCATGATTTTCAGGTACATATCTATGCAACTAACCTTCTGCATAGTATTAATTATATTTTATATCTTGATATTTTTGGTGATTTTTTAACACATCAAAGAAGCAAAAATTTTGGCAAATCAATATCCTTATTAAAACTGAGTTAGAACAAAGTTACATACATCATCAAAAGAAATTCTCATTTAAGAGTCAGAGTAGACATGGAGTGGAGCCAAGCCCTCTCGTTCCCTAGAACGAGCAACAGGAGGTATGGAAATGCAAAAACCTGGGGCTCTTCACAGCTCTGTGTGCATGTGGTGTGTGTGTGTGTGTATGTGGAAAACCACTTAAAATGTGAAGCCATACAATGAAAATCATAATAAAAGCCATAAAAGAATTCAGGATTTTCACTGGGATTTTTAGATCTAACGGTTACCTAAACTGTATGTTCAAGTACCAATGGATAACTTTTTTAAAAGATTTCTTTTATTTGAAAGGGACAGTTAAAGAGATAGAGGGAGAGAGACAGAGAAAGAGAGAGCGTCTTCCATCTGCTAGATTTACTCCACAAATGGCCACAAGGCTGGGACCAGGCATGGTTGAACCCAGGAGCTGGAACTCCATCCAGATCTCTTACATGGGTGGCAGGGACCCAAGCTCTTAGGTCATTTTTTGCTGCTTTCCCAGGTGCATTAGCAAGAAGCTAAGTTAGAAGTGGAACAGCTGGGACTGAAACCAGCACTCATGCGATTCCAGCATTGCAGATGGCAGCTTAAACCCACTGTGCCACAAAGCCAGTCCCCAGTGAACGATTTTAAAATACGTTTTCATGCATCTATTTGAATACCCAACTTCCCTCTCTGCTTTCTGGGAAGCATTCTGTCCTGTTAGAAACAACAAAAAGGAAAGATAATCTTCTAGTCCCTGGAGTCTTTGTTCTCAGTATTGATTCTCATCCCTTCATTAATGCCCAACTGAATATTTTCTCGCTTCTTTACCCTCTGGATAATCAAAACTGCTAGCTGGTAAACTTGCAAAATACCAGCTTATGAACGAACAGAGAGATGTGCGTATCTGTTGTCTTCATAAAAGGCCTAAATGTGATATGAGCTTGGTTCTACATGCTGTGAGAAGTAGTGCTTTCATCATCCACTGGTAGGTAAGTGGCACCTAATGCCAGTGAATGCATAGGAAGCAAACAGAGGTGATCATAGCCAAGCTACGTTTGAATGACTTTTTTTTTTTTTTTTTTTTTTGCACAGGCAGAGTTAGACAGTGAGAGAGAGAGACAGAGAGAAAGGTCTTCCTTTTTCTGTTGGTTCACCCCCAAGTGGCCAATATGGCCGTCGCATCGTGGCCGGCGCACTGCACCAATCCAAAGCCAGGAGCCAGGTACTTCTCCTGGTCTCCCATGCGGGTGCAGGGCCTAAGCACCTAGGCCATCCTCCACTGCACTCCCGGTCCACAGCAGAGAGCTGGACTGGAAGAGGAGCAACCAGGACAGAATCCGGCGCCCCGACCAGGACTAGAACCCGGGGTGCCGGCGCCACAGGTGGAGGATTAGCCTAGTGAGCCTCGGCGCCGGCCTTGAATGACTTTTGTAGCAATGTTTCATTATGAGCAGCATTATCACCATCTATTAGTATTTACTAACAGAGATGCAAAATTTTGTAGCCTACCACAACATGCTTTCAAAACCAATTTCCTGACCTATGCAACCTGAAATTTTGCTCCTAATTGCATGCTTTTTTACCTCTTTAGTTAGCAGAATAACTCCCTTCCAGCTTTGGTGTTTATTCACACCTTATCATACCAAGTCCTAACTCATGGTCACTAACTCATGACTTCTTACAAGATCCATCATTCCCAAGACTAAATCTTCATGTGGCCCAACTCTGGGCACTGTCCTCACACTTAAGATTTCCCATGAATACATATGAAATATCAAATATCCCAACCCAGAGGAAGACAGAATTTAAATAATGTCCTTGTGCCATTTCAATTTCTGAATTTCATGTCTATTAAACATTTTAGTACATAAATTATTGCTAGATGGTGTCACCAAAAAATTAGGGCATTCATCGTAGCTAACATAATGCATATAATCACCTGGAGACCTAGACAGAAAATACAGGCTGAGATCTGCTTTTTGAGACATGTGAGAGTCACTCAAGAGTCATAGCATTACTCATTCTCTAGTAAGTTCACAATTCCAATAACTTCCCCCTACCAAAAAAAAAAAAAAAATCCAACTTCCTCCTGCACTTCTCATCTAAAACTTCAGCTTTCTTGCTCTGTCTCTATGACTTCATCAGGTACCATCCTTCTAATGGTTTGCAGTTGTGTTGCTCCTTTTGCCCAAATGCTTTATAAGCATTATCCCATTAATCCTCACAAATGCCTCTTTTAACAAAATCCAACATTAGCAACGGATGATGAGGAATTATCATAAATAATCAACATTAAATACTTTCCTGTCAAAATAAGTAGAAAAGGACACTTTGCAGTGCAGGACTCCTGGTTTTTATTGTTTATTCATGTACTCACTAATTTGCAAAATTCTATAATCCATAATGGGTTCCCCTGTCATTAGTGCTAATTAGTGGAATTCTACTGTACTAATAAATCAACATTACCCAAACACAGTGCTTGGAGATTCAGGTTATAATACATTCCTGCATATGAATTTTTAAAAATTAGTTGGTTGTTCACCACTGCAGGCCTGATTTTCACTGATAGGATTTTGATGTACAGCCTGTTCTACAGCTGTTTTTAATGATTGCACATTCATTCTGAGTCAGACACGCCCAGTGCAAGGCAGGAAGGGACTAAGAGCAGATAGAAAGTGCTGGCTTCACATAGTTCAGTACACTGAGATAGAAGCTGAGTGGTAAAAAGAACTTGCTTAAAGTCACAAAATTGTGCAAGAGCCCAATCTCAAGTATTCACACATTGACTCAGATTTCCTTCCAACACATTCAGTTGGCCACCTGCTATGGTTTGAATATGACTTGGATGTCTTCCCCAAGGGTTCATGTCTGGAAGCTTGGTCCCCAGTGTGGTGATGTTAAGAAGCAGTGGGATGTTTGAGAGGTGGGAGCTACTTCGGGGTCATTAGGTTATTAGGGACACTGCCATAGAAAGGGATTAACATAGATGCTATAGGACCCCAGCCACTCTCTGGCTTTCTCTCTTGTCATATTGTCTATCTCTCTCTCTTGCACATGGTCCCACCAATGTGATGCCACCACCATGATGCTTCGTAGCCAGAGGACACCTCATGAGAACCAACACCGTGCTGTCTGCAATTCCATCATCCAAAACTGTGAGTTTAATAAACCTCTTTTCTTTATAAAATGCCCAAATTTAGATATTACAGAATTTTTTTTAAAAAACTGGCTAAGACAGCAACCCATGTCAAAAAATATGGTCACACAGCTACCTAAAAAGCATAATTTCCATATGCTTTAAAATGTCCATGATTCATCTATAGGTCTATTCATTTCCCAGTCTTCTAATTTATATATTTTAATAATCCCCAAGCAGCTATCCTTGCATTCATTGTCCCTTTTGTTGTTTTACTGTGAGCTACGTGCTACCTGTTCTTGAGCGCTGTGCATTTTTTTTTCCCTTGGCAGAACATTCTATCAAATTAGATGTTGTGGTTGCAACGTACTGTCCTAAGTCATGTATCTGACCTGGGATCCATTTACTGAAAAGTATACCTTTCTTTTAGCTTCACATCATCATTTAATTGCAGTAGACAAAAAAATGATTTTCTTGGCCAGTTGGCATGATAGAAGGTTACATGGTCACTGACCCTCATCTCTACAGCTGTTTCCCAGCTCTTTGCAAAGCCCAGCTCTCTGGATACTCAGTAATGGCATACAGCCAATCAAGGCACATGCTTTTTAACTGTGTACTTATTTTACAACAAATAGTATTCAACAGTAGCCACAGAAGATTTGCATTTCCCTGCATCTTGACAAGGGGATGAGTGTCCTAGGAGAGGTCCTAGGTTACGACAGCTGCAAATCATCCAGGCCACTGAGACGATCTGGAGGCCTGTTGGTTCTCCTCTCTAGGGAACCTCTCTAAAAGTAGGAGATAGTTCTTTTCTCCCTTTGAAAAGAAAGGGGAAATTTCCTAGGTGATCTTCCAAGGTGCTTTCAAGTTCTGATGACTCTTTGATTCCCTCAGTAGTCACTTTGAATAGTAATTTCTACCAGATTGTTATGATCTTGCAGCTGAATGTACACTCATATGCATGGATGAATATTCAATGTATCTATGCACAGTACACTTTTAAAAATGAGTATAATTTTAATATCCCTATACTATACAAAGGGTCCTCAGAATTTTACTAATAAATACATTGGCATCCTTCACTACTTTCTAATCCAACATGGAAGAACTATCTGGTTTCTGTTAAGGCTGGATGAATTAAAAAAGACTACAAGATTGCAACTGGGCAAATATCCTGAAGTCTGGCTGCTTACTCAAATCTTGTGCAAATTTCTGTAGACTGCTCAATTGATCTGGAACAAGAGGTTAGCCTGCAAATATTATGGACCTTGACACATCTTTTCATCTGCTGTTTTTCCTATCAGCTTATAAGATAAATTTGAGATAGTTCAGTTAAATGAGAAGTGTTGGGATAAAACCCCCTAAGCCAAGTGGGAGGAAAGAGTGCTATGATACTGGTCACACAAGGGATCAGATTAAGCATATTGTAATGGGTATGGTAAGTACCATATTTTATCAGGGGATTTTTTTCATATGCTGTGAGACATCCACAGTGGATATTTACATCCAACCAGAAAATATAATATGTTTCACCAATGATTTCATATCGATGGAGAGGGACTGTTTTTGCAGAAGGAAATCTCTGATTTGTGAGGCTCTGATTAAGTTTTACAGTCTTCTAAAGTATGACTTCTACTGAAACTACTTATGTGTGGCCAGAGGAGTGAGGACGAGGGGACTGAATCTGAATTGTTGTGTCCATTTTTCATGGCTTTTTTTGTTTGTCTGCTTTGTTTGAAAGATGGGGGTAGGGAGAGAAAGACAGAGAGAGAGAGAGAGAGAGAGAGAGAGAGAGAGAGATCTTTCATCTATTTTCCATCTGCTGCCTCAGTTCTCAAATGCCCACAATAGCAAGGGCTGGGCCTAGATGAAGCCAGAAACTAGGAACTCCATTCAGGTCTCCCATGTGGGTGACAGGGACCTAAGTACTTGAGCTTGAATCTACTGCCTCCAAGAATGCATTAGTAGGAAAGCAGAGGTAGGACTTGAATTCTGGCACTCCAGTGTGGGATGTGAGCATTCCAAGCAACAGCCTAATTGCTTTACCACAACTCCAGTCCCTCACCATGGTTTTTATTTTTATTTATTTTCTTAAAAATTTATTTTATTTATTGGAAAGTCAGAGTTACAGAGAGAGAGAGGTCTTACAGAGACTTAGAGAGAGGGAGAGACAGAGAAAGAGGGAGGTTTGCTGTCCATTGATTCATTCCCCAAATGGCGCAATGGCTGATGCTGGGTCAGGAGCCTCTTCCGGGTCTCTCAAGTGGGCGTCAGGGGCCCAAGTACCTGGACTATCCTCTGCTCCTTTCCTAGGCACATTAGCAGGGAGCTGGATCAGAAGTGGACCAGCTGAGTCTCAGACTGGCACCCATATGGGAGGCCAGCATTGCAGGTAGCAGCTTAACCCACTATTCCACAATGCCAGCTTCACCATGGTTGTTAACCCATCTATTTTCTTCTTGGGGTGGATGTTATGTTGCAGCAGATTAAGCTACCTCTTGTGACACTGGCATACCGTATCAGCATGCCTTGTTTGAGTCCTGGCTGCTCCACACTGATCTGGCTTCCTGCTAATGTACCTGGAAAGCAAGTGGAAGCTGGCCAAAATACTTGGTTCCCTGGAGCCCACGAGTGAGACCAGGATGGAGTGCCTGGCTCCTGCTCTAGCCTGGCCTAGACCTGTGTGTTGTGGCCATATGAAAAGTAAGCCAGTGGATGAAAATTGTCTCTCTCTTTATCTATCTCTATCTCACGCATGCGTGCACATGTGTGCCTTCTAACTCTATTTTACTGTCATTTTGGCTTTCAAATAAATATTTCAGAAGTATTCTTAATGTTCAATATTTTAATAAGCTGGAAATGGATAGAAGACTATACGAAGGAGTCTTTTAATGTTCTTGTCATATATATATATTTTAAGATTTTATTTATTTGCAAGATAGAGTTACAGACAGTAAGAGGGTGAGACAGAGAGAAAGGTCTTCTATCTGCTGGTTCACTTCCCAGTTGGCCACAACTGCTGGAGCTGTGCTGATTCAAAGCCAGGAGCCAGTAACTTCTTCCGGGTTTCCCACTCAAGTACAGGGGCCCAAGCACTTGGGCCATCTTTCACTGCTTTCCCAGGCCAGAGCAGAAGCTGGAGGAGGAACAGCCAGGACTAGAACTGGAGCCTACTGGAAAGCCAGCACCACAGGTGGAAGATTAACCTACTGCACCACAGCACCAGCCCCTACTTGTATATTTTTGTAAAAATATTGTGGTACATTTATTTGACTAATAGACTTAGCCCTTATAAATAGAAATAATGGCCAAGGACTGATTTGTTAGTGCGAAATGAAACATTTATAACGTCCCAAACATTTGTCTATCATTGCTGTCCACTTTGCCCTCTTTAGTTTTGTGAAGTAATGGTCTTATCATCACATATCAATTCTAACTTGTGCTGTTATGAGCAATGTGATATAAGAAAATCCATTTTCTAAGAAATGAATACATAGGTAAAGCAAACTGTCATGGTAAATAATCAACATTGAATCTCCCCAGGTGACTTGTGTAAATTTCAAAAATTAGTATTGACTTCACCTGTTTCTTGAACAACAGCAGAAAACACAGACAGCTGGTTGCAGAGATTTGGAACACAATTACAATTAGCAATTACTGCATGGTTTCTAAACAGGAAGTTCATGGGCAAGACCTTAGAATGCTTTCAGTGTTCAACTACATATTTTTTTCATCCCGTAAGTCTTGAAAAACATCATTGATGGATTGCTTCATGAAAACCAAAACTGTGCATTGTACTGCGAAAATCATGACTCCTGTTCCAAATTTCCTGCAGAAGGGAATATAGAGAAAGTATTACAAATAGGAGACTGTGTACTAATATGCAAAGGATCCTGAATTTCTAAAAGGTGGATGTTCTGAATTCCTTATGAGAATTTGTCAACTATCACATGTAATGTATGATTCACAAGATGCGATTCAACTCTGATTGCTTCCCATGCAGAAATATTGCAAATAAATCCTTGACGAGCTAGTCCTGCCTTTGCACCGCTATAAATGCTGTTTGTCCTGTACTACATATGACAATGGGACACACTATGTATTAGCAAGTTGATCTAGGGTTGTATTCCCTAACCAGGGTCAATTCTACCTCCCAAGAGACATGTGACAATGCCTAATGATGATTTTTTTTTTAATGTAAAGACTGATAGGGATGCAAATGTCTAGTACATAAGAAACAGAGGTTTGGTTTAACATCCTATTAAGCACTGGACAGCCACCACCACAACAAAAAACATATGACTGCAAATGTCAAGAATGCTACATTTGAGATACCCTGAACCAAAGCGAATGGGCACAGTTGCTGGTGTCTGGTCATATATTTCTCAGGTGTCAATAGTCGGAAAGTCTATCACCTGGATGCCGAGAGATAGAATTCTGAATGCCTCACCAGTGGGGATTCTCCTGGGTAATTTTGATTGCTCCTTACAGAAGGGTGCAGCTGGATGGAAATTTGCCTGAAGCAGAAGTCCCTTTTGTCTCTCTCTATTTATCATCATCATCATTACTTTTTTACTTTGGTTAGCAGATGTTTCTTTAGTGCTCTGACATCCTTTTTAATTTGCACATTTATTAATTTGGCTGGCTGGGAACAGAGTTCTTACCTGCTGAATGGTGCCTGTACCTTGTGGCTGGTGGCAGGCATATCAAGGGTTGTCCTGGCCCACCATCCATCACGAGGGAGCAGTTTTAACCTATAGCATCTTTAAATGGGATCATTTGATGACCAGTGCAATTTTGGCTGTTGTGCTATCTCACACTGGAAGTGAAAGGAGCTGATTGCTCCAGAGTCCATTTGTTTGGATTCTAACATGTACCCTCACGACATCCCATTTATAGCTGTGACAAAGAAGTAAGCAATTAATCAGACATCCCTTCTAACAACACTGACCTGCCAGCATTCAAATGCTTTAATTAAAACTGTGGCACAGTGTATGCCAGGGGTAACAGTCTAGCAATGTCTACACCAGGCAGGAAGCGGCTCTCTCCTCATCCCTGAAGCAAACACATTTTATGGATATCACTGGCACAGGACCTTTAATGAGAAGGAAGGGGTCTCCCGGGACAGGTTGCGCATGCTCCTGCCCAGTCTACAAAGGTAGATTACATCCCTGTGCTGGTCTAGATGCTTCAGCATAAAGCATGCCCCCCAACAGAGATTTTCCTTGGCCATCCCTACTCTTGTGTTTTTCTATTTGAAACTAGCCCAAATGTGGAAGAGCCGTCTTCCACCTCTGTGTTCTAAGTCTGAATTCACCTCTGCTGCTTCAAAAATAAAATGTCAGTGCAACTTTGAGATTTAAAAATGTTAAATATCAGTAAGCACAGAAAAACTGGATTACTTTTTTTTCCTTCCAGTGTTAACTCACCCTTGCGACAGGTTTAGCCTCTTGGTATTCATGCCTGCTCTCCAATTGTTCCGCCTTTTTGTGTGCATGGGAATACCAGGATTCTAAAATCAATAAGGATGCATTTTATTCATAGAATTAGATGGTTTGGGGGAGTTCAGAAAGATTGTCACCACTCATTTTTATTACACTTCCACTTTTTTTTCCAGGTTGATGTATAATTTCATCGAAGCATGTCAGCATTCTTTGAAATATACTCCAAAACCATTACTCTCTCCTGAGTTACAGTACTGCCATCTTTCATACTTGCCTCCATTGCCTTACATTGTTAATATGGGCATGGGGATCACATCTCAATATAAGTCAACTAACTTAAAAGGTCCCTAAGCTGCCCCTTGGACATGGCATTCACCTTGAGATTTAAGCAGAATTTCTCCTTTTGACTCTAGCGACAACTCCATAGCACCTCCTCTATGTGAAGTTTGCTTCCAAAATATTCCAGCCACCTCCCAGTGTTTTTATTTGTGTCTCCATCCTCCAGGATTTCCAGTTAATTTGCAACACCACTCCTGCCTTTTTCCAGGAATTCCTTAATGTCTTCCTTCAGGTTTCTTCCCTAAGCCACCCTTGTAGATCCACTGAAAAGTGCTTTTGTAGCTTATCTTTCTTTCCACATGTGGCTCCCCAATAGACCTGGATGGACAGCTGCCTGCCACCTCGCAAGTTTTCAGAAGGAAAAGCTGCGTGAACCTCCTGCCCCAGGAGCGGAGCCTGGTCTCAGCCCTGCTGTGGCGCCCGGAAGGGAAGCCTCCTGTCTCCCTCTGTTTATCCACCCTTCCCCAGGGCGCTGTATGTGCTGAGCTTCTCCACTCAACAGCTCATCACGCCCTCTCGTTTTCATATCCTGAGCTCTTTCAAGTTTGTGTTTTGTTATTTTTTTTTTGTCCTTTGAAGGCCATTGATACTTCCCACAATGGTTTTCAAGTTGGAAATATGAAACTTACAACTTTCTTTCACTTCCCTGCTGCCTTCCCTATCTCCCTTCTGGATTTATTAAAATAATAATTTCTCTCTCTCTCTCTCTCTCTCTCTCTCTCTCTCATACACACACACACACACACACACACACAATTCCTGCCACAGCTTAGGTTCAAAGACAATGACAATTGTCTTTTCATCTTTTTGTTCTAATTAACATGTAAAACAAAGGACAGTCTCAACAGAAGAGATGTGTGTCCAGTTGACAGTGGCCAAATATAATTATTTTCAGAAAGGAATGACAAGTGATATAAAGACTGCTTGGCACCAAGAAACAATTTCCTTACCCACACTTTCCTCTTCCATCATCTTCTTCATGTCCTCCTAACTCTCTTTAGTCTAATCGCCTCCTCAAATGTTATCTAGAAAAAAAAGGCAAATTAGGCAGGGTTCCCGGGAGAAACATAACCAATAGGCTGTGTATACACAAGTCTAGACAGGTTTGTTTTAAACAGTCAGCTCATGGATTGTGCAGACTTGTTGAATCTGAATTTTACAGGATGGGCTGGCAAGCTGCAGATCCAAGGAAGGTCTGGTTCCTAGTCCCAAGGCTTCAGCTGGCGTGATTCCTTCTTCCTTGTGGAGGTCAGTCTTTGTTCTACTCAGGGTTTCATCTGATTGAGTGACACCCATCCACAAAATGGAGAGCACTTTTTTCCACTCAAGTCCACCAAATTAGATGCTCATAGTATTTAAAAAACAAACTAATAAAAAGAACTCAAAGAGACATTCAGAATAACATTTCACCAAATACCTGGGCACCATGATCCAGTTATACTGACTTACAAAATTAACTGCATGGTAAGGATTTTCAAACTGTGTTCTGTGGAACACTAGTTCTTTTGATTAAACACCCAGTTGAATTGATGTCTCTGCCAGGAATTCGCTTTCAATATTGAAGGGACAAGAACGGATATTCCCAGAGTTCCCCCTTATCAGAACTTTCACTCTCTGAAGCTTCAGTTATGTATGGTCAACCATCATCTGAAGATAATAAATGGAAAATTCCAGAAAGAAATGATTCACAAGTTCCGAATTGTGTGCAGCATGATGAAATTTCTCACCATTCTACCTCTTCCCTCTCAGAACATGAATCATCCCTTTTCTCAACAGAGCCATGCTACAGATGCTACCTGTACCTGTACATCAGTCACTAAGATGCAGCCTTGGGTGCAGATCAACTATCTCAGTATCACAGTGCTTGTGTTAAGTAACCCTTGCTTCACAATGTCTGCAAATTCCTAAAGTAGTGATGCAAAGGAGATACTAGGATGCAAAACATAGAATGAATGACTCTGGTTCTGTGTGGCAACACTACAGAACCTACAGAAAAAAATTCTTGTACCTATCGATTCAGTACTATCCATGGTTTCAAGCACCCACTGGAGATGGTGCAATGTAGAAAAGATATGAACTACCCTGTTTACTGAACACTTCCTAGGCTATTGCACTCGACTCTTACAACAAGCTTACAAAAGTAGATATTATTATCAGGGTTGTTTATATAACAAACCACTTGTAGAAAATAATCTTAATTTAGAAGTATTACTGTAGTTCAACTTCACACTTTATGGAGCAAAATGATTCAAGTGCTTCATCAAAGTCTTTGCTGTCATTAGACAAACCATCCTTGTGTCATCTGAATCACTCTGGCTGGGCACATTATCTCCATTTACCTGATTGATTCAAACAATTCCAAGCCACAGAATAATAACATAATAATTCATTGTATCCATCCAGTAGAGGCTCCTGGAAGTTAGAGCTTACCAATCCTTGTTTGCAAGCTCTTACACCTATAAATATCAGTCTTGGCTCTCATTCACTTACCACCAGAAGAACCCCAAACTAGAACTGATTTTGAAGCTGTGAAATTTTCTTTGTTGATGAATAAAAGCCACTGAGAGAACAGTCAGTAGAAAATGAAACAAAACAAAATAGCAGAGTTGAGTAGGTATAAGAGAAAAGCCATGTGATGCACCAAGCTTAAAATCCCTGGTGTTTTCTGTCTGGACCTTGACATAAAAGTGTTCCCATCCCTGTCTCATGCAAGGTCAGCACCCAGGGGTAGCCTTCTTCCTGGACAACATATGCCAGGACTTCTTCCACGGCTTCTTGAAAAGAGGCCCCATATATGATTTCTTAAAAGCACCCTATTGACTATTGTAATACTCACTTCTCTCTTTCATGACCAGGATGATTACTGAGAAATTTAGCTGTAAATTGTTTTAGCACCTTCAGGAAAGGGAGCAGAGGGTGGGTGGAGAATACCGTTACGAGGATAAAAGCAGGTTCAACCCACAAGAGATAGATTTTTTTAAAGATTTATGTATGTATTTGAAAAGCAGAGAGGGAGGAGGTGGGAGACAGAGAGAGAGGGAGACATATTTCCCATCCACTGGATTATTCCCCAAATGATCACAACGGCCAAGACCAGGATGCAGCCAGGAGTCAGGAAATCCATTTGAGTCTCCCACTCCCAAGGCAGAAGGGCCCACGTATTCAGGCATGATCTGCTTGTTTTCAAGGAACATTAGCAGGGAGCTGGATGAGAAGCAGAGCATTTGGGATTTGTATCAGCACTGATAGGGGATGCCAGCATAGCAACCAGTGACTTAGCCTGCTGTGCCACAGCGCCAGCCCCAGAAGATTTTTTTCAAAGTTAAAATCAAAGCCAGGAGCCAGGATATTTTGGATCTCCCACGTCGGCGCAGGAGCCCAAGCACTCAGGCAGTGTTCTGCTGCATCCCAAGGCATGTTAGCAGGGAGCTGCATCAGAAGCAGAGCAGCTGGCACTCTGACTGGTACCCACTTGAGATGCTAGCACAGCAGGCTGTACCTGCTACACCATAGTAGAGGACCCTGGCCTCTGGTTCTTAATGACACAGAAGACAAAGGATTCTTGGCCATTTCTAAGACACTGCTCTTTCTCAGGGTAATGTTTAGTGAAAGACAGATCTGTGTTTCTCTGTCAACATCAGGTCTTGGTTCTTTTCTTACTACATTGACTTTCCAAGTGCTGGGAAGGTGTCTGTATTCTAGCATCATTCCTAGCAGAGTATCAGACAGTGTGCTACACCTTGTTAACAGGTGTGACTATTGTGTTATCATGATCCTCATCTTTCAGATTGCAGGAAGGCTGTGTAATTTGCTCACAGTCACATTGATTAAAGGGGTAGCAGGATTGCAAGCTCAGCATTTCAGATCTGGAGCCCATCAGAGCTAACACCACAACCTCTGCAGCCAGTTACCTCCCACAGGGTCAAACTGAGTCTGGCAAATGCCCCCACTGCCTGAGAATCTATTGGTCAGGCAACAGCAGTAAGTACAGGCCCTGAAATCCAGAGCAACTGTGGACACACAGATCTGCCAGGACTGGAGGATGAAGCCAGCTCTCTCCAACCACCAGCTCTCAGGTCCAAACTAGGCAATTCAGCAATCTGGAAGCTTGCTCTCCTCTGACAGTCCCAGTAAGCCTGCGTGCTCTGAGACGGAGCTAATGGCTGTGAGTCCAACATGAAATTGTGCCCACCTAGTATCAGAGAAAACCAGAGCCAGACATGAGTAAAAGTGGTGAAGGCAAATTTTATTCAGGGATATTGCAATGGAAAAAGAGACCTCAGGGTAGAATGGGCTTCCATTCCAAGTACAGTGGGGGCACATGGAGATTGACAGGCAGGAAGTGAAGAATGTGTGGAAGAAAATCCCTAAGTGAAGACATCAAGCCCGAGAGGAGCCCATGCTGAACGCACCAAACAGGATTCCTGCTGCACACAGGTCAGGGAGATCAAGGACCAAGGAGGGGCACTGAGAGATGTTAATAAGCTATTGAGGTTTATCAGATAAAAAGAATGGGGTATTCTTTTTAAAAATTATTTATTTATTTAAAAAGCAGAGTGACAAAGAGAGGAATTTACATACAGAGTTAGAAAGAGAGAGAAATCTTCCATCCACTAGTTCACTCTCAAAATAGCTGCAAGAGCCAGAGCCAGGCCAGAACAAAGCCAGGAGCCTATAACTCGATCCTGGTCTCCTGCATGGGTAACAGGGGCCCCAGGCATTTGATCCATCATCTCTTGCCTTCCTAGGTGCATTAGCAAGATTGGAATTAGAGTGACTGGAATTCAGATGGGCACTCCAACATGGCATGCCAGTGTCACAAAGAACATCTTAAACCCACTGAGCCACAATGCCAGCTCCCAGGGTAGGAAGTTCTTGCTAAACTGACTTGTCAGAGTTTGTGCTAAGATTGGATTTTACAGAGATGGGTGTAGGAGAAGGTTTGGAGCCTAAATAAACTTTGGTCAAATGAATATACCAAAGATTATATCCCTTTCAGAGATTGGAACTGCTAAGAAGTTTAGTAATTAGTTATCATTAGTCCATGTTTAGGCCTAGAAGACTGCGGGAAACTCCTTAGTTCAAACTGGGTTAGTTGGCTACCTGGTTAGTAGACAAATGCACTTTGCCTATGAGCCTCAGAAAACAGTCTCTGAACAAATGAATGGAATAAGAAGAGAACCTCTTGAATTCACTTTGTTTATCAGAGCATGGTGGTGATCTTGGAGCCAACTACAAGTTCCAAAAATACTTGTTGAATAAATGAGAATGTGAACAGATAAATAAGTAAACCTTGCCCAGCAGAAGGCACACTGACTCCTACCACCCAAGAGAATGGGCAAGACCAAGCTAGCCCCAGAGCGATGCTATTAGGAGGTGGGTCTTTCAAGAAGGGATTAGGTCATGAGGTAGAGCTCTTGTGTTATGGTTTCAGCAAGATTAGGCTCCTAGACTCACACAGGAACTCTAAGTTAATGGTACTAAGAGAGTGGAAACAATTCCATGATATGTCTAGGAGGTGGTCCTAGTGGGAGGGCATATTTTCAGCAGGTAGTTCTCTCTAGGGATTGTTTCCTGAGTGTGCCCCAGACACTCCCTCTGCTTTGTGGCTCACCTTGTGACGTGCTCTCTGCAAATGCTTCACCATGACCATCTGCTACCCTCACCAGACTTCTAATCAATGGACTTACACTTGAATTTCCAATCTTGAACTTGAGCCTACCGAACTGTGGGCTGAAGAAACCTTCCTTTCTTTCACAAGTAGCTGTTTCAGGTATTTTATGGCACTAACTCAAAGCTGACTCTTCCACCTCCTCCTTGGGATTAATGCCTTTAGAGAAAGTGTCCAGGAGAACTAGCTTCCTGCTTGCACCATGTGAGAGCACCATAAAAAAGTAACTATCCACAAGCCAGGAGACAGGTCCTCCCCAGGAACTGAATTGATTGAACTTGTTAAAATTATTTTTAACTTCATGTAAAAAATTGACATCAAAGAAAATTTCAAGAAGTTACAATGTTGTCATGC